CAGGGATTGTGTGGATTCCTGTCCCTTTCTTTCCATCACAGGTAAGAGCTGAGGACCATGGGGATGACCCAGAAGAAAGTTTCATAAACATTGTCTTGCGTCTTACCAAAGCACTGTGTTGAGCAGCTGGTACATGCTGCCTATGCATAGGGACCTTTAGAGGGACATACCGTGCAGCCTGCCTTCGGGCAATGCATGTACTCCCTGAAGAGCTCCTGCTGGAACTCTTGCTCTTCCAGCTTCTTTTCCCCATTATGCAGTCTCCCTGCCATAGTTTCTCTGTCCTCTTCCCTAGACTTGTCTTGGCAATCAGAAAATCAGTTTAGTTTATCATCTTCGAACTTCCATTTTCCTGAATGCACTTTGTAAATTCCACTGTCCCTTCCCATGTCTCTCTAGAAGTCAAAAAGCAACATGTTTTCCTTGTTTTCCATTTGTTGACAGGAAAATTTGTCAAGAATCATCATTTATGTTGCCAGACATCTGATCAAATGCTTCAGCTAGGGACCCAGAATTCTCCAACTGTGGCCTTGGTAAATTTGTGGCATCTGAAATGAAACATAGGAAAATGGTTAACAGAGATACTGAGAAACTGCAGCAAACTCTTCATACTGAGGAATTCAGTACAAAAGATACCTCTCAGTTCACAGTGAATTTTCAGGGCCTTTCAGGAAGACACCCTGTGCTCAAATTCTAAGTGATAAGGACATAATCATAATGATCTCCTCTGTCCCCTTTGTTTCTTTGGGGGCAAGGAAGGGAAATGAGAGCAGGCAAATGTATCAGGCTTCTATCAGAATGTGTGAGTAGTTGCTCAAATGAGTCAAAGGATAGACACCACAGACAGACTCATACTGGATTACTTTCTACAGACAGCAAAATGCTTCAGGATAACCTGCATCTGGCTGTAATTGAGGAAAGAAGTCCTAACAGAATGAGTGTGGACAGAGCAAGACTGGTGAGTTTGCTCTTGTTTTTCTCTCAAAGCAAGATAAGCAGTGTGCCTGAGCTGAAGACAGGAAAGCAAATCCACACCAGCATCAACGGAGATCAAGATTCTACCTCCAGTGCCAACCTAGGCACTTGGACACCTATGTCCTTAAAAAAACCCAATCAAACAAAGAAATCTTGATGAACTAGTCCTGTGAATTTGGGTAAATCAGGGCTAATTACACTGTTCACCATTCTGCTCTGAAATTTAGTTTCTTGTTGCTTCAGGTTGTAGGTTGGTTTCTAATAATTACAGTTGTGCTAGAAAAGTTAGCCTGAAATGTTATTTGGAGCTGTACTGGTCTAACGTCCTAAAATTCAGAAGCAACACATGAGCCAAATCGTAACTTCCCCGTAGCTCTCTTACTGCTTGGGGCCTGACAGCATCCACTGGAAAAAAAGAGGTGTGGAGTTGCCACTTCTAGTATAAGAAAAAAATCACACGGATGGGTGCCTTCCTTCTCCATCAAAAACTGCATCTACCCACTTTATGAATAAAATAGTGGCACATATATGAACCCAGCCACCGAGCATGCAGACAAAGCCCAAAGTTAAGAAAAACAAATAAACCACGGCAGTAACATACCTTGTGTAGATTCCCTTATTTCCTGAGCTTCTCTCCTCCCAAACCCACTTGGCTGCTGTCTCTGGAGTTTCTGTCTCTACAAAGAGATCTGGATGCCCAGCACAGTCTCAGACATGTCCTGGTCTGTATTCAGATCCTGAGTCTGAATGGAGTATCCTTCTCTTCTCCCAACAGAAAATTTATGGGTACCCTTCTTGGTGCTGATTCCAAAGTGCCAAAAGTGAGGCAGGATTTTCTTCCATGTCTGGGAGGTCTACTATCATCCCAGACATCGTTATAGTGCATCTTCAAGTTCTTTATCCTCTCTTGGTACTGCCCCAGGAAACAACTGGTACACTGATGGACAAGGTGCTCTTATACTTGGCTATCAGAGTCCAACAGACACTAATACCACCTCAACGTCCTGGATATTCACACATGCTCAGTGTTACCTACATGAGGCCAGTTTGCAGGTATGATCGTTTCTTCTGAGAAATGTTCCAAGAACATCTTGATAGATACAGACAAATCTGTACATAGCGAAGACTTCAAAAAAAAAGTATCACCTCAAGTCAATGGAACAGAAACCGGACCAGAGAGGAGCATGGTAGATACTATGCCATGACTTGATGTCCGTACTTGAGTTAGCCTTGTCCAGAGCAAGAATAATTCACACAGTAGTGTGACCATGTACCACTGCTAGCAGATGCAGATGTAGTTCGGTACTTCCCCAGGAACAGGTCCTTACATGGGTCTGCATGCCAAAAACTCTCAAGTGTGAAAATGAGGTAAATCAGTATGGAACTGATCAGTACTGATAGGAAATCAGTGTGTGACAGCATGTCATAAACCTTCTTTTCAAAGGTACTAGATCAGCAACAGCTGGGCACACATACCCAAGCACTTCCAACAGCAAAAGGGAAACAGAAATCTGTAAAATCTGCCATCAGAAAGCCAAGCATAAAAGGCAGCTCTACACCATAGACTCTTTTGTCTAAACCCTCATGAATGGGAACTATTTTGTTGGACATTACACTCACATACTATACAAGAGCAAAACTGAAACTCCCTCAGAAATGAAAAAGAAGTATCAAACAGTGGCAAAACACTCAAAACCTTTCTCCCAACAAGGACACTATGGAAGGTGGTGAAGCTAGAAAGTTTCCAGACCGAAACAGCAACCCAGCCTTTGAAAGGTGAGGAGGTAAGGTCTGCACTGTGACACAGACCTTGTGAGAGTCCGCTGCAACTGCAAACCTCCTTAGCCCCTGCAAAGCACCCCAGATCCACTGCTACCTGAGAGAAATCAAGACCAAGAGCCAGGGCTCAGAAAATGTCCTTCCCTCCAAGCTCCTAACATAGCTCAAGAAATGCAGTGTTGTGACTAATTTGATTCATGAGAACATCCTAAAATGAAGGCTGTTACAAGGAAATGCGAGATTGCTCTTTGCAATCTAAACCCAGGAATATACCTCTAGAATTCATTAAAAATAAAATCATATGTAAATCCAGCATATAATACTTTAAAGAGAATTAAAAAAAAACCCCAACAGCTAGGGAAGACCCCATTACAACATATATACAGTATATATATGTTTATATAGTATAAGCACTTGCCGAGAGCATGATGATGGCTCTTCTTCTGTTACATTAGCATGGAACCAGTAAGTTAGTATCAGTTGGAGGAGTGTTGCATACAACTACCTAAAGTTTCTTGTGTATTCAAAGGTACTACAGGTTCTTCTTTGTACAAATTTTAGGTATTATGTATCCACAAAAGCAACAGAAAAATTGAAAAGTGAAAGAATAAATTTCCAACAGCGATTTTATAAATAAAATCACTGTTAAAGTTTATTCACCTCTGCTACAATATCACATTAAATCTACAGCGTGTATAGGGCAGTAGCCAACACCTGAAACTGCAGAGAAAACAAAGAAAAAAATCCTCTACTATTTCACAATTTAAGTGTCCATTTGTCTAATACTGTATATAGAGAAAACATTTTACTGATAGCTGTAATAATACTCTCATACTCTGAAGTACAGGATCTAATTACCATCAACTTAATTAAAACTAATTTCTTTTTATCGATTACTTAACTTTCTGATGTTGCTCTAACCCTACTGCCTTGGGGAATGTTTGCAAAGGTTTCCATCAATGTTATGACGTTTTATATTAATTAAGCTATTCTGATTAGTTTGCCCTTTTAAAAGTTATTCTCAGTGCTATACATCTGCTAAGTGACAAATGGTAGAGTTTAAACACTTATAAAAGTTCAAACATTTGTGGCTTTGCTCTTTTTCCCCCCCCCTCCTTTCCCTTTGCCTGCTCCCTCCACCCCTAAGAAAGTTCACATATCGCAAAAGATCTGTATAGAAGAGTTTCCAAAAAGTGTCTTTTTCACAACTATCCGCACAGTTAGTGAGCTGCTTTGTGCCCACTGCTCAATTTTCCTGACCAAACAGATGTGAGACCCCAATCTAACAATCCTTTCCAGTCCTCAAAGCCTCAAAGTACAAGATAACCATATGTAAATGATAAAGGTCTATTAATTTTAGTGGATCTAAACTCAAGCCGCGTGAAAAACTAAGCAGAAATACTTATGTTTTTCAAGGAGATGTGGACAGGCTTTGCTTAACTTAAGCCTAAATCAACAACTCGGCAATAAACTACTCCATGAAATACTAGACTTCTAAGAGACCAGTTATAAGAAAAATTAAACCAACATCATTTCATTATGCTAACACTTTAAAGAAGTTGTATTTCATTTTTTATAGTCCTTACAAGACTAAAACAATTCCTACATACTCAAACGTGAGAGGAGGTAATGATAATTTTTTAAATTATAATTTTTTAGTTTTTCTTTTTTATTTGTCCAGCTATAAGCTGAACTAATTTGGCACTGTTAATATCTGGCTTTCAATAATCAGGTACTGTAGCTAAGCTTTACTACTTATCATGCAACCTAAATCATCCAAATCTTAAGTTATTAAAAAAACCCCACCCAAAACAAAACCACTTTTATACACTGTAGTGTCAAATACATTATGAAAGAAAAATTACTTAACAGACCATAAAGAAAAACTGAACAGCAAGTATACCCAGATTCTTACCGATCTGCAGAACTTCTTTCAAAATGTTTTTTATTTAAAGCCTCACATAAAATTTCCAACACAAATGCTTACATAGGAAAAGCATGGATGTGATAATATAAACAATTCTGCTTACTAGAAAAGCACTTAAAAAAAAAATCGAAATCACAATAAATAGCAGGACTGCACCATAGGTAAAAAAAAAGGAAGAAAAAAATCCCAGCAATACACCACTAAACAAAGCACTAAAAATCCTCAGAAATGCCTTCAAATTCTGCTGAGATCTTATTCGTATAAGACTGACACACATGCTAAAGGGAAGCCAATTGATTATCAGTCAATACAAGCTTACCTGCTTAAGTGCTTTCTTTGTGTGCTGCTGGAAGGAAGATACTAGCTTGCTCTGCACCGGTGCATTAGTAAGGCTTGAATCACGATTGGAAGACATTTCTTCAGATGTCTGCTTTGGGCAAACTTTACAGAAGAAAAAAAAAAATCAGAATTCTGTTATGGGGGTTATCTTCCCTATATACTGAAAAGTCCTGAGGACGGGGGGGGGGAAGGCAAGTGCCTGGAAAACAAAAAGCTCATTTTAAGAAATTCAACTAATCTCAAGGTCCAGATGAGTCGAAAATGCAGCCTTATTCTACATAAATGCATTGCTTCAGAAATATTTGTAGCTCATCACACCCTTTCTATGCAGTTCTGGAGGCCTTGCATATTTTGCCTTTCAGGTCCTGAAAGGTAACTGAAATAGTTTAACTACGTTTTTCACACAGACGCTACACAAAAAACAATCTTCCTCACCAAGACATTTTTAATGGATTATTACATGTCTAAACGTGTATTTATATAAGAGACACTGGTGACCCTGTGTTCCAGAAATATGTATAAATATGTAACTTCATAGTAGATTGTAATGGCTTCTTAGGAGCCAGACTCATCTATTTTATAAGTACTTCTTGGTAAAGCTAAGAACACACACTTTCCTGTTTAACGGGTAGACTGGAATATCCTGCAAAGAGGAATTCTGGTCTCTCAGGTAATACACACTGCTACTTGTCAGCCTTCTAAATAATACATCTTTTAATGAACAAATACTACAGTGCTTGCATTAAACAGCCTCTTGAATACATGTTGTGTGAGGCACAGAAAAAGTCTCCGGTTAAAAATAAAAGGAAATATGATTAATTGTTTTAAAAAACCAGCTTTATTAAACAGATAGGAAAGCCGTGAAAATAGCTAGAGGATCCCATTAGTCTTGGTAGTCAGCAAGCTTGCCCAAAAGGGCTGTAAAACCCTTTCCCCTCTTAACGCCTCACATTACTATTACTCTCACTAGTGTCCTAAGACAGCCCAGCTAAAACAGCATTAGCATGGATCCAGAAATTAAGCAGCTTTTTTTCCATTCTCCTCTGCTGACTTAATTCAAGTCTGTCTGCCAGCGCTGCTCAGAGCTGGTTTGTGCGTTGACATACCTTCTTTATAATGCTCTGCAGCTGCATATGGTTTTCCAAGCTTTGCCATACTTCGCGCACCTATTAGAATAGCTTGAAGACACTCAAAGCAGCTGCACAGACACGTGCCAGAAATAATTTTAGCCCAGTGCTTCCGTTTGCCTATGGTTTTCTGTTCCCATCCTTCAGTGGGATGAGCAGACACCTGAAGTAGCATTCTAACTCCCTTGCCTTTAGCAATGCTTCATAGAAGAAATATTCTAATGATTTTTTCTTTGTGTTTGTAAGAAAAAAGACGGAACAGAGACAATTTAGTTCACAATAACTAGTAGCCATTGTAAGATGCATGTGATATTAAATATTTGTTTTCACATTGAAAGGAAAAATAATTAAAACTTACCTCACAAACAGAGAATACATTCTGTTTTATGGCATGGGCATTATGTCAAGATAATTTTCGTGTTAGATTAAAAATTTTCATTAGCAGATAAGACAAATCCTATTTTGTCACAAGATTTATAACTGATATTTGTCACTATTTTGCCTTATACTTGAAGGATTTGTCAAAACATATAAAGAAGCAGCAACACAAAACAGGTTCTGAGTTTACAGCATCACCTGGTTTGGATCAATCTTTTCCACATGATGAGCAAAGCTTACTATCAAAAAAGAAAACTTAAAGGAGCAGCAAAGTGTCAGCAGAAAACAAACAATAGCTGTTTTATATAACCTAAATCACTGCAATAGCTAAGCTCCTGAGACAAAGAACACCTACACCAAAATAAAACCCTGACATTTCAAATTACCCAGCTTTTGTCTTTTCTTTCAAAGATATATTTTTTTAGTGTTTTCTGGCAAAGTCTGAGAGTCAAAGAACTGAAGAAAAAAACCAGAAAGTGTGTGAGTACACAAAGTACTCACAGAGTTAAGGACAGGAGAACAGAATAAATTTAAAAATGCCTAAAGAATGGAAAATGTTATATTAACTGTCACTCCTAAGAGAGGATAGAACATGATGTCATGAAAAACCTATTCCTCTTGTCCGGGATATCTGCAACTCCTATTACCTTCTTGTTCAAATGGGAAATTCTGATTTTCATTACTCTGATCTAGGACATTATCCAAGAGTGTCCCCTATTTATTTTGGTGATAAAGTTTATCCTGGAGAAGTCTGGTAAAGCTAACTGATGATGCTCAGCACTACAACTGTTAATGTCAAAGTCACAATACAGCACAAGAATAAAAATAAACATAGTGTCCTGGTTTCGGCCAGGATAAAGCTAATTTTCTTCATAGTAGCTGCTATGGGGCTGTGTTTTGAGTTTTTGCTGACAACAGTGTTGATAACACAGGGATGTTTTCGTTCCTGCTGCGCACACT